GCTTAGATTTTTAAATATGTATATATATGTATGTGTGCATATATATACATATAGATCTATATACACACATATTTATAAGAGAAAAACAAAGGAAGATGGCAAATGATGAACACAAGAGCGTGGGATGGTGCTGTAAGCAGAATGTTGGGAGCACTAAAGCTTAGAATGGAACAGGAAGTTAAGGTCAAGAACAAGGTTCTTTTAGATTACAGCAGGAAGAGAAGAGTACCCAAGAAGAGATAGCACAGATGTTTGGGGTGGATAGGGTGCTGATAAATCCCAACACAGAGAAGGCATGACAACTCCATTGTTACTTTGCTTTTTTTTTTTTCTGCCAAGGAAAGTGATCTTTGGCTCCGAAAGACTAGACTAAAAATGGCCATTGAGGAGTTGACACCCAGGAGAAATAAGGAGAGAGTAAGAAGAGCCCAATGGCCCAGATGAACTCCAGACTGGAGGCCTGAAGGCATGGGAGCTGTGACTGCTGAGTCACGGTAGGTGACATTTGAAAGATTATGGAGAATGGGAGACATTTCATGAAAGAGGACAGATGTTCTGAATCTTCCAAAAAGAGAAGAGACTGTAGGAGGATCAGCTTTGTATTCCTGGCAAAATTTGAGAATGTCTTATGAAAGAGATCACCCAGAACCATCTGGAAAAGGAAGTTGTGATCACTAAAAGTTCAACATGAATGGGCCATGAAGGACTAACCTTATTTCATTTCCTGACAGAACTGCCAAACTGGTAGATAGATCAGGGAAATGCTACAAGTAAGAGTTTTATCTAGATTTTAACAAAGCATTTGATAAAATACCCCCATGCAATTCTTACAGAGAGGAAAGAGAGATGTGGCCTAGATAAGAGTATGGTTAGATGGATCTGAAACTGTGGGAATGGCTGGAAGCCATTGATGTTTCAATGTCAAGTTAGCAAGAGGTCTTGAGTGGAGTATCTTGGAGATCTTTATTTGGTCCTGTGCTGTTTGAGGTTTTTATCAATGTCCTTGATAAAAGAATAGAGAATATTCTTATCAAGTTTGCAGCATCACCAACGTGGAAGAAAAAGTTAAATACACTAGACAACAGATTGGTATCCCAAAACATTCTGACAGTTTAGAATAGGGGCTTGAATCTAATAAAATGAAATTTAATAAGGATAAATGTAAAAATCTTACACTTGTGTTCAAAACATCAACTTTACACATACACACTACACACACAGATTCTCTTCCTTTCCACTCTGTCTCTGTGCTTTAGCACAGATTGTCTCCCATGGCTGCAATGACATTCCTCATCCCCTTCACCTCTAGAATCCCTTGTTATTTGTTTTTCAGTCATTAGTCATGTCTGACTCTTTGTGATGCCATTTGGAGTTTTTTTGGGCAGAAATAAAAGAGTAGTTTGCCATTTCCTTCTCCAGCTCATTTGGCAGATGAGGAAACTGAGGCAGAATAGAATGACTTGCCCAAGGTCACACAATTAGTAAGTGTCTGACACCAGATTTGAACTCTAGAAGATGAGTCTTCTTGATTCAAGGTCTGGTACTTTATCCATTGCACCACTTAGATACCCCTTGGATTCCTCAAAGCTGAGCTTAGATGCCATCTCTTCCCTAGGGTCATTCCTGTCCCCCAAATTCTAGTCCTCACTACTCACAGCATTATCTTGCATTTATTTTGTATATATATTTTATAGATATAGTTATGTCTGTCTGCATATTTATCTACCTACTTACTTTCCTGTCTATTATTAACACATGTACATGTTGCCTTCCTCTTTAGAATATAAGTTGTCTTCCTCTATAGAATGTAAGTTCCTTGAGTACAGGGACAATTTCATTTCGTCTTTGAATCCCCAGCAGGAACTACAGAGCTTGGCACATAGTAGATGCTTAATGAATGTTTAATGTTGACTGAATGACTTTCTATGGAAGTGATAATACTATTGTATTCTATCCTGGTCAAACAACACCTAGATTTTTGTATTTAGTTCCAGCATCACTGTTTAGAAAGAATATAAATAAGCAGGAGAACTTCTGGAGGTAGAGGTGGGATCGACCAGAATCAAGAAAAACCTCAAATCTATGCCATATGAAGGTCATTTGAAGGACTTGGGGCCTTTTAACCTGGAGAAGAGATGACACAGGAGTATATGGCTGGTCACCTTTGAGCACTTGAGGGGCTGTTACATGTCTCTAGAGGACAAAACTAGAGCAACGGGTAGAAGTCACCAACACGTGGATTTAAGTTTGATATAAGGGGAAAAACCCCCAACAATTTCCTAATAATAAATGCCATCTCCAATCAATCAATTAAGGACCTACTATGTGTCAGACACTGTGCTAGGCACTAGGGATGCAAGAACAGTGAATGAGGCTACAGATGCCTGGAGAAGTGGTGGGCTCCTCCTCACATATCTGGGGCTTTGCCCAGGCTGTCCTCCATGCCTGCAATCATCTCCTTCTCATCGTCACCCCTTAGAATTCCCGGTTCTCTTCAAAGTGGAGTTCCAGGGCTACCCCTTTCAAAAGGCTTTTCTTGCAACTGCCAGTGCCTCCTCACTTCAGTCAGTCAAGAAGCATTTATTAAGCTCCTACTACATGTCAGGTACCGTGCTTAGTGTTGAGGATACGGATAAAGGCAAAAGACAATCGTTGCCCTCAAGGAGCTTGCAGTCTAGAAAAAATTCCTTTCTTCATTGAAGGTTTTCGGGCAAAGACTGAAAGACCACTTGTTTGGTGTGTTGTGGTAAGAATCCTTTTTGGGTATAGGTTGGATTCAATGGCCTCTGAGGTCTCTTCCAATCCAGGTGCTTCTCTGATTCTATTCTAACTTCTCCAAGGTCTTTTGGGGACTCTAAATCTGAGGGCTTCCAGGGAATGAAGAGATATCATGAAATGCCTTTACACCCCTGTAGAGAGTAGAAACAGATTTTCTGCTTCCTAGCAAGATCAAGGTCAATTCATAGTATTATCTGGGCTTAGGTGAGATGCAGACTCCTTAACTGTTGGCTGTCTTCAGTTTCCTGCTTGACAGCTGGACCCTTCTGGTTCTTTGAAAGGCAGAGGATGTCTCTCCTGCCTTTCTTTCCCTTAGCGTGAGCCAGCACAGAAAGTCACCAATTAAGTCCAAGGACTGAGAGAGCAACATTTTATTATAAGAGAGGGTTTGTTCCTTGTGGTTCAATCCTGTGGTCTCCAGTGGTTCAAGTGGCATGGATGGACAGTAGCTTTCTATTTATTAATGAAGAAGGACTTCTTGCCTGTCATAACCAATTTCTTTGCTGACAAAACTCAGAAATTACTTAAGATGTGCCTTCTTCTTGGGAAGAAGAGCTGAGAATAATTTTGGATCTTAGAAGAAAGGTATACAATCAGGAATGTGTAACTTAGTTTGACTGGAAGTCCTAGGCAGGGCTTCAGGATGTAAGCTGGCTGGGTTCCGTGCTCAGTAACCCTCTCCCTTATGGCTGGTGAGATAGTAACCTTGTGGTGCTGCTCTGACCTTTTGCTTGGATGGTTAATTACAAGGTAGCAACATTCTGAATTGTCTCTTGATTGTCTCTCTCTTCTGGGTTCCTTCTCTGCTAATGAATGGAGCAGTAGGGGAGGAGTCCCTCTTTCCATCTCCACCCTTTCACTGTGGGCAGTGATGAATAGAAGGTGATTTTTCTGGTAAGAGGAGTGCTATGTCTGTCTCTCTGTCTCTCTCTCCTTTCCTCCCTGTTTCTCCATGCCCCTACATCTCTTAGGAGTTGGAAAGTTTACCTGGCTTCATGTCCAAGCAGATCCCACA